ACGAGGAGGCGCCTGAGCCACCTGCACATATCATGGAGTCAGTAATACTTGAACCCCAGTACTGCCGACACTGATTGACAGTGACCAGGGGGAGAACCACCTGCTGCAGACGTGCTGGCGTCACATTGCCTGTGGGCCGGGAAAGGCGGTCAGGCTGGCCCAGGGTGCGCATCCGGGCTCCCCTCGCCCTTCCCCAAGTCCTTACCCACACCACTGGTGCGGCCCCAGCCAGTGGTGACACAGGTGAGGCCCGTGGGCAGCGCCTCGTTTGAGGAAGCCAGGCAGACGGGGGAGATTCGCTGTGTGTACCGGGCTGGTGAGGCGAGCTTCAAGAGGGTCACGTCATTGTTCATAGTGGTGGGGTTCCAGCTAGGGTGTGTAATGGCCTATGGAGCCAGGGAAAGCCAGAGAAAGCTGGAGCAGGTGCCGGTGCCCCGGGTTGGTACTGAGGGGTAGGTCAGGGCGTGCTTGAGCTTCTGGTCCAAAGCAAGCCACCTGAGGCCCATTTTTCCTGTCTGTGTGTACTCACCTTCGAGATGGACAGCACTTGCACAGGCTCGGCATTGGAAGACCGGTCATACTCTCCCAAAACAACGAAGTGTCGCCCAGGACTGCAAGGATAACGGGAATGGGTAGCTGCCAGGTGGGGTTCAGAGGGGACATCCAGGTGAAGGAAGCGGAAAGAGATGGGCGGGGCGGGGCAGGTGGATTACACTCACGTGACTTGGCAGTGGGCAGCAGTGACTACCCAGTTCTGGCTGATGAGAGAACCACCACAGAAGTGGTAGCCATTGCTTTCCTAGGGTCAAAAGTCAGCTATGTGAATGGTCTTAAGTTACCCATAGGCATAAAGCATGCAGGACCCTGGCCCACCCCAGGAGTGTGTACCTGCAGAGACACCTGCCAGGGCCAGGAGCCCGACACGGCGTTCTCCCCATTGACAATCCTCTGGTTGTAGCTCAGCGCAGGTGTGATGGCAGGAACACCACAGCCTGAAGAGAGGGCTGGTGAGGATCCACATCCCAGCCTACCTCTCCCTACAGTCTTCCTCCAGGGGCCCCCAAGCTGTGTATTCCAGAGGAATCCAAATCAAGAGGACTACTCACTAGCCCTTCCCTTTGGGTGCCCATCCCACTAGCCTTCAAATCCTGTACACTCTATCACATCTACCAGCCTAGACCTGACGTTCTTTAGGCCACTTTACTCCGATTCCTGGGGTCATCTCCCTGGCCCTCTGTTCTTCTAGGCCCGAGCAGTTAAGGTCTGCTTTGCTTAGACTATACACATCTTTCATGGTTTTCCTGAGTCTTCTCGGGTCTGGCTCAAGCTCCTGGCTCATTGGTGAGACTGGTCCCTGGCTCTTCCCTCACTCCCAGCCCTGAAGGCTCCTTTTTTGCTTAGCTGCATCAGATTTTTCCTTTGCCTGCACTGTCCATTTCCCTTCTAGCTCCTTCTCTGGGCCCCTAAACAGGAGCTGGGAGCTGAGTTTTCCTAGGTTGTTCAGTCAGGCTTTGGTCCTAGCCCACTTACCCCAGGAGGAGCCAAGGAAGACCAGGCTAAGGGTTAGGCTGAGCAGTAACATTGTGGGAGATAATGAATGGGGTTGAGAACGGCCTGGCTTTATTTATGGGCATCCTTGTCCTTGGGCAGAAGCCTTGGGCTCGAGACTAGACCAGCTGTGTGGTCTTAGCACACTCCCACACCTGCCTAGAAGAGGTCTTCGTAGGCCAAAGTCCTTGGAATTATCAAGTATCCAGGTGTGAGGCTCTCACCTTGGGGAGGTGGCTCCCCAAGCTTTGGCTTCCTATTGGCTTTCTGAACCACCTGCTACCCCAAGTGTTGGTCACTGGGTACCAAGACATATGGCTGAACTATGTCTAAAGTGTCAAACTGGTGGCTGGGACCTATGTAGTTTCCCAGGGCTATCAGGAGTACTGGACTCCCAGAGAAGCCTTCTTGGAACATACAGGTATTATGATTGGTGCTAAGAATGGCCAGATGTGGCCACCTCTGCTGTGAAGACCAGGGATGGAGGGCCTGGCAGGTTGTGAATCCTAACAGACACGATCTCAGATTTCTCATCAGTATGGAACAGGAGTCAGAGGTTTGCCCAGAGATGCTGACTGTCTTACCAGCATAAGGTGGGATGGGACCCAAACCCTGTAAGACCTACATCTCTGTAAGTGTGAGTGAGCCCTCCGCGGCAGAGAGACTCTGGACTGAAGTTGGAAGTGGAGAAGTGACAGCCGTGAAGTCGGTTTCTAGACCTCAGATTGCCATCTGTCCACAGTGCATTTGTTACTGAGCTCCAGGCTGAGCTAATGAATGGAGGGGAGGTGCGGAGTGTTATAAAAGGTGAGTTGGCTTGAGTTTTCTAGATGTCAAAGGCTTTGACTGGCTCGGAATTCCTCAGTCTGGAGGAGGGTCTGGGAGGAGAAGAGGGAGGGGAAACTGGGTTGGGATGTAAAATTAATTTTAAATTAAAAAATATTAAAAAAAATAGTATCTCAATCTAAAAAGTGAAACAAGTGAATGGGTAAATAAAGGAATAGATAGACATAAGATCAAATACAACAAAATATGAATTATAAATTCTGGTGGACATATGGATTAGTCAACAATTCCCTCAACTTTATAATTGTATATAAATTTTTTCATAAAATGTTAGGGAACACACAGTCAGGGACCAAGGATGTCCAGCCTGGACGAGAACCTCTCTGGAGAATGTGACTTATCCATTCTGAAGCCCCAGGGGAGCATAGCTACTCTGAGATCAGGACGTTCCCACCAGCACCCAGTGGGTGCTTAGCGAAGGATTCTTGTTAAATGTGTCATCTTCCCATGAGTCCATGACCCCTTTTTCAGCCCAGAGAACTTGGAGTCACTCTTCCTAATCACAACCCCACAGGTGCAGACAGGGCCCAGCTTTTCACCAGAGGCTCAGACATGCCTGGTCATTTGAGGAGTGTCATAAGTAGAGGCCATGTAGGTGGGTGAGGGGTGCTTGGTGAGAACTTGCCCTTTGAGCCAGGAGATAGTTGCTCTATCAGCATTTTAGCTCCCTTAGGACCCAGAGTGGACTGGTGCCAATAGGGGGTCACTGATAAGCCAGGGAAGGGCTCTGAGTAAGGGCTGTCCATGGGGTCTTACAAGATGGGGTATTGGTGGGGTAAGCTTCTGCTGTGTGGATTTGGTTTGGGGATGACAGGATGTAGCTTTCCATCTCAAAGCCTAGAGTGCTGGCTAGGGCTGGGATTCTGAATGGACAGATCCCTGAGGTGGTGATGAAGGGTACCTCAGGCCAGGAACCAGGCCTCGGGTCCTTAGATACCTCAGCCACAAAGCTCCTATGGCAGCTTGTCCCACTCCCCTCAAGAACGACAGTCTTCTGTTTAAGTGTTTGTATTTCCTGGGTTTATTCCCCCTTGTTTCAAGCTGAAAGTCTTAGGCCACTTTATTCCACCTCCATGGCCTGCACAGTTTCCTCCAGAAGCTCCAGGTTCAGGGGTTTCACTTCCTGGGTCAGGACAGCTGTGGTTCCAGGAGCAAAGTGGTAACGGCCAGCTCTAGAAGGGAGGAGGGCCGGCCTTTCAGCATGCAGCCTGTCCTGTCCGGACAGCAGACCTCCTGTTTGCCGCTCTTGTGAGGACTGCGGCCCACCTCTCCCCTGCTCCTACCTCGGCACAGGCTTTGTGGGTGAGCTCAGTGTTCTCAGCAGCTTGGCGCCTGCCGCGGTGATCACACACGCATCCACACTGCCTCCAGAGCCCAGGTCACCCAGGATCCCCGCAGTGATGGCTTCCACCAACAGCTCTTGGGCAGCCTCCAGCTGTGGTGGTGTGAATGAGGTTAAAGGAACCTGGGGTTGCCTCACTCGAACCTGAGGACTTTGTTAATCTTGAAGCCTAGACAATTCGCCATGTGTGCAAACTCAACCTCTTTCCTCTCCCGCCACTCAAAATTCCAGTCCCTTGGCCTCCGACTCCCTCTCTCCCCACACCCTGTGTTCCCTCCACCCACTGTCCTACTGTCCTCTCTACAAACTTCTCAGCGTCCCTTACACTTACAGCATCCCCCCCCCTTCCAGCAGTCTTCCCACCCGCCAATCCAGTTCTCTGTCACTGAGTTTCTGGGTTGTCACCTATCTCTATCCCACTCCAAAGCCCAGACCTCAGACCTCACGAAGAACCCCACTGGGCTTTACCTCTCCTTCAGTAATGGTCCTTTGTGAGCGTCAGCGTCTTTCAGCGGTCTAAGCTTGGTTACTGACTGGACCTTCAACATCATTCAATCCCTACTCAGGTACCATCTACTTCCCCTACAAGCCTTCCTTATTTCTATACTTGGCCAGGGTTTGGTTGTTTTTGTTTCTGGCATGTGAGCATGAAGTAATGGCACAAGTCGCTCACCGTCATGTTTGGCTGGAACCTGTCCTCCAGCAGTGCCAAGGCTGCATCCTGTCCTGAGCCTGCAGGTGGAACGGGGCTCCTGAGGTTAGCTGTAGCTGTCCCATCTGGGGAACAAACCTTGAAGGTAGGGTTGCAGGGGCAGGATTCTTGGGAAATGGATGGAAGCACTCACCCAGGGCCGTAAAGGGCAAGCGGCTGTAGGAACCGTGCGGGTGCACGCCATAGAGTTGCGGCCCGGTTAGGTCAACCCCGCCCACGATCAGTGATGCTCCCACGTGACCTTGGTACCTGTGGACCAGTGGGCGCTGTTACTGCCAGTTGGAGCCAGGCCCCGCCCCTTACGCTGCTTCTCGGTCTGAATCCCACCCCTTCCTGTGACCTGGCGTCCTACAATTGATGTTGCTTCTTCCGGAACTCAGCTTTGGTCAGACCAGCTGGGCTTCTTCCGGTTTCTCTGCAGGTAGCAGCCTGAACTTTTCTTCGGTTCCCCAACACACGCTCCTGTTAACCCTGCCTACCTGCAGACACCCCCTCTAGGGGGTCATCTTCACCCCACCTCCTCACCGGAAGAGTGTCTGGCGCAGGATACGGGTGACAGTGGCCACCCGAGGCTCACGGCCGGTGGACAGCGCATGCAGCTCCATCTTGGAAGCTGCCATCCGCGTGGTCATCTCAGTGTCCGCAGCTACTCCAGCCCCACAGCAGCTGCGGGCAAAGGGATGGTGGGTGTGGACAGGGACGTGCAGGGACAGAGTAGGGCGTGAGTGCCTGCAGCTTTTGTTTGAGTGTGGGGACTGGGCTGGGGGATTCTTACTAGATTTTGGGGGCGATGAAGTGGATCTTCTCGCAGTTTTTGTCCGCCACGACCGAATCGTTAGTGGCCCGCGTATCGGCGCCCAAGATAACTCCATCCTGCAGAGGAAGAGCCCAGACTTCATGCCCACCCCATCTTCTCCACAATGGCGCCATTCTAGCTCTCCAGCCCGACCGCCCTGCTCACTCGGAACACAAGTCCCGCGATGGTAGTCCCGGTCTTGCGTGCATGAGGGACCCGAAGGCCTGACAGGACGTGTTCCAAGGACGCATTCCTGCAAAACGTGGGGTGACTCGCGTTTTAGTTCTGCCTCTAGGGAGGGTCTTTGAACCGGTCCCCAAAACCATCTCTACTTTCCTCATCTCCTGGGTTAAGCCCCTACTTGGTCACCCAACATAAGGTTCCCAGTTCCACCACACCCCTCTCCCCGCACTCCCCCCAAAAAGGGCCTACAATCGGGCACCAGCAGCTCCCAACTAGAACTCCACTCCCCCTTCACCTCTGGCAGTTCTCGAAAGAGAAGCCTCCTCTGTGTTCCACTGCCTGCTTCAGCATCTTGGGGCAGGGAAGCTGAGACCCGGGGGGTCGATGGGTGGATTAGGCGAAAAGAGTGAAGCCCAGGGAAGCAGAAAGGCGTCCGCCTCGGCTTCTGTGGGGTTGAACGGGACGCTTCCCACTTTCGCTTTCACCTCCACCCCAGTTCAGAGGCTGTTGGCGGCTCGGTGCGTCTTCTGTTTCACTTTCATCTTTGCCTCTAGTCCCAGGTAGCTTGAGGAAGGAGATGCATCCCTCACCGGGTCTTCCATGGTGCTCCTGGGTTCCTCCATCCCCGTCCCATCTGACACCGTGAGCCCTGTAAGCACATACATATATGCAGGCAAGACACTCATACTCGTAACTCTTTAAAGAGAAGTCGAAATTAAGCCCTTTTAGGTTTAATTTTGTCTATGAGTGAATGTGGCTCGCGCATGCTAGGTGCCCACCAAGGTCGGAAGAGGGCATCAGATTCCACGGAACTGGTATTACAGAGAGTTGTGAACCACCGTGTGGGTGCAAGTGCATCAAGTGCTCTTAACTTCTGAGCTATCTCTGAAGCCCCAAATTAAGCCTTCCTTAGATGAAGTGTCATTTCTTCAGATCCTAAACTTTTTCCTTTTTAGTTTTTGAGACAGGGTTTCTCCATGTAGTGTTGACTGTCCTGGAACTAGCTCTGTAGACCAGGCTGGTCTGAATGCAGAGATTAAAGGCATGTGCCACCACCACCTAGCTCTAAACTCCCCCCACCTCCCGATTTCTCTGTGTAGTCCTGATTATTTTGAGACAGGGTTTCTCTGTGCCCCCCAGGATTTATCTGTGTAGTCCTGATTATTTTGAGACAGGGTTTCTCTGTGTACCCCTGGCTGTCCTGGAACTAGATCTATAGATCAGGCTGGCCTCGAACTCACAGAGATCTGCCTGACTCTGCCTCCCAAGTGCTGGGGTTAAACGCATGCACCACCACTCTATTTATTTTTAAGTGCATTGGTGTTTTGCCTGCATGTATGTCTGTGTGAGGTTGTCAGATCCCCTACAACTGGAGTTACACATAGTTGTGAGTTACCATGTGGGTGCTGGGAATTAAATCTGGGTTCTCTGGAAGAGAACTACTGAGCCATCTCTCCAGCCCCTAACTGCTGGCTATGAAATCCCAGATCTTACTTTTTTTTTTTAACATTTATTTATTATGTACACAGTGTTCTGCCTGCATGCCAGATCTCATTATAGATGGTTGTGAACCACCCTGCTGGGAATTAACTCAGGACCTTTGGAAGAACAGTCAGTATCCTTAACCTCTGAGCCATCTCACTAGCACCCCCTTTTTTTTTTTTTTAGACAGGGTTTCTCTGTGTAGTTCCGGGCTGCTCTGGATCTCACTCTATAGACTACTAGGCTGGCTTCCAACTCAGAGATCCACCTGTTTCTGCCTCTTTAGATTTATTTATTTATTATATTTATATAATATTTATTTATTTATTTATTATGTATACAGCACCAGAAGAGGGCATCAGATCTCATTACAGATGGTTGTGAGCCACGATGTGGTTGCTGGGAATTGAACTCAGGTCCTCTGGAAGAGCAGTCAGTGCTCTTAACCTCTGAGCCATCTCTCCAGCCCTGCTTCTGCCTCTTGAGTGCTGAGATGAAAGGTGTGCAACACTACCACCAGGCAATCTTACATTCCTAACAGATCTCCAGCTCTCAGCCCCTATATTTGAATATTTATTTTGCTTGAGACAGGGTTTCTTTGTGTAGCTCTGGCTGTCCTGGAACTCACTTTGCAGACCAGGTTGGCCTGGAACTCAGAGATTCACCTGCCTCTGCCTCCCGAGTGCTGGGATTAAAGGTGTGAACCACCATTACCTGGCCATGTTTACTTATTGGTGTTTTTGAGACAGGATCCCTTTATGTGGTCCTGGTTATCCTGCAACTATATAGATCAGCTGACCTCAAACTCAGAGATCCACTTGCCTCTGCCTCCCAGTGCTGAGATTAAAGGCGTGTGCCACTATGCCTGGCTCTATTTTAAACTCTTGTATTCAACCAGAATTCAAGTCTAGTTCAAATCATAGTTCTCCATTCCAACAGCTGTACCTACATCTGACTATTGGCACCTGCACTGTGAAGGAAGGCATAGGGCAGGCTTTCTGAGCAGCTCAACCAGGACAATGAGAATCTACACATCTCAAAGTGTTCAGTTTTACTGCAGGCTTTAGCAAAGTCCATCTTACTTCATGTTCTCCTAGGTCAGGTGATGCATGAATCTAAGTAGTGCTTTCTACTTAACCCACACTACACAGAACTTCTAATAGCAAAGGCCTTTTTATTCAGGGGGTGGGGGAGCTGGGCTGGCAGCTGGGGGCTCAGGAGTACCGTGGCGGTAGGCACCCAGGAGAATGGCATTGATATGTTCCAGTGTCTTATTGCTGAAGACCATGTTGAGATGTTCTGTCCCATTCATGGGCAGCAGGTGCACAGGCTGTGGCTGGCGGCCCTGCCACCGGCCACAGAGCTCAGTGCTGCGTGTGGCTACAGTGTCGTCACCATCCTCATAGAGTGCAGCCACTGGGTCCTTGTAGGGGAAGCTGTGGTCATAGATGTAGGTGTGGGGTGTGGGCAGGCCCACACCGTACAGACAGTATACTTCTACACCAGGTGCTGGGAGGCCCGCCAGCAGGTTACGTGACTGCAGCCACATGTACCATCCGTCTTCAAAATGCAGATCTGTAAAAAACCGCTGGAAGTCTTGGCCTGTGTAGTTGAAGTTCGGTGTGGAAATGAACACATGGTCTTCAGGCCATACCTGGTGGGCGGGAAACATCCAGGGGGAGGTCGTGGTCATACGCTGCTCCTCTCTCAGCTTGATGCTGGACATGATCGGGATGCCCTGGTTGTCACCTGTGGATACGGAACCAGGTGGGACAGGGAGCTGGGCCCGGCTCACAGTTTGCCTCTGCGAAGCACTCGGACTTGTCCCTGCCCCATCCTGACCTGGATTCCAAGACACGGGCCAGAGCAGGCCTGGTGTTCAGTTTAGTGCTCGATATTTCAGAGACTGTGTTGTACTTCTGTAAGACGGAGCTATAGGGCCTCAGATGGTGTGTATGGGAAGAGGGGCAGTTAGAGAGATCTGTGGAGCTGGGTGGTGGTGGTGGTGGTGGTGGTGGCGCACACCTTTAATCCCAGCACTTGGGAGGCAGAGGCAGGCAGATCTCTGTAAGTTGGAACCAGCCTGGTCTACAGAGATTGAGTTCTAGGACATCCAACTCTGTCTCAGAAAAAAAAGAAAAGAGAGAGAGAGAGAGAGATCTGTGAAGTGTGTGTGTGTGTGTGTGTGTGTGTGTACCTACACACTGGCTATTCTTTCTCAGGCCCTGTGTGGAGCCTATGTGCACAGTCGTCACAGGATTGTATTTTTGGAGGATTTGACAGTGCCTGTTTGACATTCTTTTTTTAATTTTTAAAATTTTTTTTTTTCCCCTAGAGCTGAGGACCGAACCCAGGGCCTTGTGCTTGCTAGGCAAGCGCTCTACCACTGAGATAAATCCCCAACTCCGCCTGTTTGACCTTCAGTGATGTAGTCTGGTGAGTCACTCGCCAGACCACAGTGAAGACTGGCCCTGTGTGCCCAGTATAAAACAGTGCTCAGTGAGTGATGGCTGTGTTAGTGTTGGGTTCCTGGGGAAGATACTAAATAAAAAATAAAAAAAGTGTGGGGGGGGCATCAGGGATCCCCAGGTTTGCTGTGGCAGATATGTCCTTAATAAAACATATTCCTGGGCATGGGGCTCCAGGTAGTATTTAAAAGCCGGAGTGTACAGGACTTGGGCTACAAGGAGCAAATCTGGGCTAACAGACTGCTGGGATTAGCCTCCTCTACCGCCTCCCTTCTCATCACTAAAAGACTGCAAGGAAGTACAGGCATGGTCTGTACTCACTCATAAGTGCATATTAGATATAAAGCAAAGGACAATCAGACTGCAACCCACAGATCCAGGGAGGCTACATAGCAGGGGGGACCCTAGGATGGCTGTGGCTTATAATAAGTTTTGGCTTTACCCAATCACCGGGCAAGCTTTAGTGAAACATTTCACTATTAGGATAAGAATATGTACCGTATCAAGCAGATGAAAGAAAATACTGGCTGTACTTTCAGGAGGGGAGGCTAAAATCTTTTTAGGTTATGGATTACTATAGAAAAATGTCTGCCATAATCAAACAGTGAAGGGGAAGATGAATAGGAATTTCACTTGCACAACTTAAGTAAAACATAGCTCTCTGAACAGATGAAGATAGGTTTCTTCTGTATCCCAGAATCTAATCAATATTTGTATGTATAATTCAGCTATTATTTGGCTTAAAAGGGCTTATTGGGAAGTGTTATCATTTTTACTATTTTCTACAGAGAAAATATTTCCCAGTTTCAAATAACCCTGGACTTTTAAATTATAACCTGTTTTTATGTTCAAAGGAAAAAAAAAAAAGACTCTGCAAGGAGACATTGTGGTGGGTAGCCATTCCAGCTTTGACCTGGAAGTCCCAGGCCCATTGAGGCTTCGGTAACTGTCACACCTACAAGGCAGAGCCAAGAGAGGACCCCTGAAGACCCGAGATCCAGATGGGCCGGTTCTCTTGGTTCCTGGATCCTGGATGCTTGGAGGTAGACTGAGCAGAGTTCTCCAGAGACTGCCGGACTGCGCCACACCTTTCCCAGACCCTGTAACCTATCCCTTCACTTGTAAGTTACCCCACAGAATAAACCTCCCTTATAACTACGTGGAGTTGCCTTAATATTTAAACCAATAAGACATCCTAATGGTGCTGTCTTCAAGGAGCTGGTGGACAGCAGGTACGCCCCGTAGACAATTTCCCTGGGCACCACTGTGAACACAGCTAGAGTGACAGCCAGTTCTGTGATCTGCTTCATCCCTCCCTCACCCCACACAGGATGGCAGTGATCAGGAGGCTCCTCACCTGAGGCCAGGACCAGCATGGGCTTGATAGAGCCACCCCACGGAGCCCCCAGAGAGATAAAACCATCAATGAAGCGGTCCTTCCAGGACTGAGGCTGACGCAGTAAGAAATAGAGCACATGGAGGCAGCCAAGGCTGTGCCCAATAAGGAAGACAGGCTTCCCATAAGCAGCGTACATCTCCTCTATCAGTCCTGCCAGCTTCTGGTAGTATTCATCTTGCTGGCCTGAAGAGGGGTAGACAGGTCAGGGCAGTTAGGGCCTGGGACCACCTGTTGTGCCCCCAGGCCATTACCTCCAAACACTCACCGGGTTCCAGACGCCAGTCATAGGGTGCGGCCCGCACTGTCTCATCCCGCACGTACCCATTGTTAACCAGATTCTGTACCAGAGTGTGCATGTAACCTGTGGGGGGGGGGCAGCGGCATAGGGGTCTCTGTCCATCACACCTGTAGGCCAGCCTAACGGCCAAGAAGAGCCCCCGCCTTTCCCTGAGTACACGGACCTGCCAGCTTGTTGTCATCTAAGTACTCAACAGAGTAGGTCTTGCCAAAGCCGGGGACACGGATCTGTACACCAGGGGCATTGGCTACGCGCCCAGAGCTGCGGTTGTAGACAACCCTGGGGACAGTGGGACATTCAGCAGCCAGTAGCCAAAGGGCAATGTGTAGGGGCTGGGTAGATCACACGGGACGTACCTGGTATTATCAATCCAGCAGTCCACCCCAAGGGGTAGAAACATATTGAGATCCAGCCAGATGGTGAAGAAGTCCTCTGTCTTGCGGTAGCACAACCAGTTCACCACATCTGGTTTATCCAGCTTGGCTTCTAGCTGATTCCCCAGGCAGCCAGGCACTGTGGGCACCAGCTTTTGTTCTGGACTTCCTGGCTTCTCTCCAGCCCCCCAACCCTACCACCAAAGAAGCCCACCCCTCCACCTCCCACACCCTCGAGGTTCTAACGACACTCATCCTCCCGCCACACTCTTCCTGTCCCACCAGGACTGCCAATTCCAGGCTCCCTTCAGACAGGGAAGGTGCAGGAACCCAGGCTGCTGACCCCTGCCCCCATAAAGCAAACATCCAGCTTGGCTTCCCGTTATTGCCAAAGTCCAAGGAGCGAACAAATAGGTGAGGGGGAGCAGGGGCTGGGCCTAGAACAGGGGGCAGGGCCTTTATGGACCTCTTCTGCTAAGCCTACCCTGGGCTAGGAATCTCATCCCTGGGAAGGTAGAAGCCAAGGAAGTAGTGGGGCTTAACCCAGTATCCAGTGTATCTGCAGCTGGCCACAGCCTGTAGTACCGTGGCCAAGGCCATAGGCAAACTGCATCCCATTCACCGACCACCACCCCAACCCCCTGAAGAAGACAACTTGGAGAGAGAACAGTGTAAAGGGGAGAGGTGTCTCTGCAGAACAAGCCTTTGGGCCTTCCCCGTACCAAGTCAGGCATGAGGGCTAACTGTGGGCCAGCAGAACCTCTGTCAGGGAGTAGGACCCAGGCTCCCCAAGTCTCGCTTGATGCATCCGGGGCCTAGCGGGGGCTTACCGAGGATGACAGGCCTGGTGTGGTTACTGAGTTCAGCCTTGGGCGTGGTTTGCGGGGGGAAGAGCACATTGAGGAGCCAGAAGGGGGTGGCAGGAGGGAGCAGCAGCCCCAACAGCAGCAGCACCCACTGCCATGGGGAGCCAGGCAGCCCCATTCCAGCCCAGTGCCTACTGCCAGATGAGGCAGTCCTGGGCTGGCCTTATCTGGACCGGGGAGGGGAGGGGCCCCAGGGCCAGTGGGAGGGACAGAACCGCCAATGGGGGTGGCCAGGAAGGGGCCTAGCCTTGGGGATCTGGCTCTGGGTTTGGGTTCAGTTCAGTCTTTCTTCCCTTGGCGCCAGGGGAAAAAGAGCTGGGGCAGCAGGAGGCCCAGAAGTACACAATGTTTTATTGAAAAAAGTCAGGCTCAGCTTGGCCAGCTCCATCCCACTTGGCTTGATGAGGGTCTCTGTCCACAGCAGCCTGAGCCAGGTCTTCCCAAAGGCAGGTCCAGCTCAACTCCCCCACTCACTGTCCCTCCCCTCTTCTCTGATGATGACATCCAAACAATAAATATACAATAAATAGCGCTCCTGGGCCAGACTGAGATGTCAAATCCCATATCAACCCTCACCATCTTCTCTAGTCAGGATAGGCCTACGCTGGGATATGGGAAGGAAAGCCCCTATATCCCCCAGGGTCCCGCGGGCCCTCGGATCCATTTCAATTGCCAGGTCCAAGCTTGGTTTCCCAGGAGACCTAGCAAAGCTGGTCCAAAACAAGGCTGGGCAAAGCAGAACTGGCAAGTAGGTGTAGGGGTGGTGGGGACTGTTGTCCCAGACACCCCAACTCCAGGCCACAAGACTCCACTGGGCTCAGGAATAGATGGTGATGACTTCTCGGCCACCTCCACGCACCAACAACACCCGTTCAAGGCCCTCAGTGAGCACTTCAAGGAATTCCATGTCTGCAGGGTATCAGGTCAAGGAGGCAGCCACAGCACCAAGGCTACTTCCCACCCACCCAGGGGCACTCAAGGAGAAAAAGCTCCCCACTATCAGCCTTTACACCAAAGGATACAGTTCTCATCACCCTCACTGTTCTTAGGGGGGCCGGGCATGTTCAGAAGGACCAGGCGGGCATCGTGGGACCGTGTGACAATGACTTCATTGAGCTTCACAGCAGTGTGCATACGCCGCACATTGGACTGATCCCTGCGGACAAAGTAGCTGATCACAGGCTACTGAGAAACACGCAGCAAAGAGGTCTCTGTCCCTGGTCCATCCGCACAGCTTGCCCGTTCCCACCCCACCTCAACATCACTTGGACTCACGGCTTAATGTGCACCAGCTCCCGAAAGTTGTCAGGGGCATGGCTGGGGTCCCAGGACTCGGGCATGTACTTGTCTCTGGTCCATGTCATCTGGATCTTGTCGGCCCCTGCTGCAGACTCATCCTCCTCATCTGAGTAAAGGCTCTCTAGCCGCAGAGCTGAGTGCCTATCCTTGACCAGCTGGGCCTGAGGACAACCAGAGGGTGTCTACTCGGTACCCGGGGAAAATGAGGGCCTGGCTGGCCCAACATGACCACCCTGTCTCTAGAATATGGGCACTGATTAGTTCTGGTTCAGGTGAGGGTTTTTGTTTGTTTGTTAGTTTTAAGACAGGCTGGCCTCTTGCCTCAGCCTCCTAAGTGCTGGAATTATAGGCATAAGCCATCATGCCCAGCTTTTTGTTTGTTGGTTTTTGTTGGTTTGTTTTTGAGACAGGGTCCCACTATGTAGCCTTGACTGGCCTGGAACTCACTCTGCAGACCAGGCCAGCCTCGAACTCACAGGAATCCACCTGTCTTAGCCTCCTGAGTGCTGAGGTTATGGACAGAAGCCATTATGCCTACTCAAATGAGTCATTCTGTAAATGGGTTTGTTTTTTTTTTTAAGATTTTTTTTTGCATATGAGTGTTTTGTTTGCATGTGTATAGGTGTATCCTGTGTGTGCCTGGTACCCACAGAATTCAGAAGAGGGTGTTGGATCATCTGAAATTGGAGTTAGGGATAGATGTGAGCCAGTATGTGTGTGCTGGGAATTGAACCTGCATCCTCTGAAAAAAAACAAGTGCTTTCACCTACAGAGCTATCTCTCCAGTCCCAAATGA